CTCAAGTTGGCTCAGGCCCTACATCACAAACAGCTCCTCCATCACAGATAGAAATCATTTCTTACTCTGGCTCGTTTTGCTTTTGTTTTGACTCCACCCTCTCATACTGACTTGGTTCCATCTCCCTCAAGCCTAAACAGGAGAAACGTCACCTTTGTTCCACCTTCCACTGGTCTTCTTCTTGCCCCTCCCCCCTTAAAAACACTATCCAACTCTTTCATACCACTTCAGGCATACCAGGCACTTGTTCTAAGGGTTTTTATATATTTACTCCATGAATGCTCATAGTAACCGAATAAGCTTAAGCAATAATTACCTTCATTTAAACAAAAAGAAAATGTAGGCATGGGAGGTTAAACAGCTTCTCAAGGTCTCATAGCTGGTGACACAGCCTTGAGTCAGAGCCAGTCTGGCTCCAGACCCATGTTCTCAATCCCCCGTAATCTCGCCTCTCAGGTAACATACCAAGCTGCACACAGTTATGCTCCCACGCCTCAACACTGGCCTGATAACAGATGCTTCCAGACCCCATGAACAAGAGGAACCCTAGCGGTTCAAAGCCAGCCCTCTGCTAACTATAAATGTCCCCTTATATGCACTTCCCAGTTTCCTAAATGGACATAATCAATGTTCTCAAGAGTGACCAGTTGGATCACAAAATCTGAAGCGCTTCACAAACTCTTAAAAAGTGGTTACATGATAGCACAGCAATGTGAATGTACTTAATTGTCATTGAATTGTACATTTAAAAATGACTAAGGGGGTAAATTTTACGTTATATGTAACTTAGCACAATTTTTAAAAAGCAGATATGATTTTATACAAAGCGGTTCTGGCGTATATATATTTTAGTGTGTCACAGGCACACCTTCCTCATCATCTAAGTAGCCTTTGGGAGAAGTGTTCTTCTCTGATTTGCTTGACCCTCCAAGCTGATCCTAGGAGAATGATCTACCTACAGTCCAGTTACCACCTGAAGTGTGATCGTCAAGGTCAGCTCACCCTCTGCACAATTGTGGTTTATAGAACAGCCTCAATGCTCCCGAAATAGTGCCACAAATGTACGATTGCCCGATTTCATGTGGGAGCCAAGCTTTCCCCAACTTGAGCCTTTGGAGTGACCCCAGGTTTTTCCCAGCCAGGGAAGTGTTTTCTTTTTCCAGAGTCAGAGGGATCCACTTTCATTCCTAGCCCTGGGCTGCTATAAGTCTCACCAGCTTGGTATGTCCACTCTTTTGATTCTTTGTGATACCCTGCTTTTCCTAAAGATTTTTTTCATAGGCCCGAGGCTGTTGGTTCTCTGTGCCACAGTTTCAATACTACAGGGAAGCTGCTCAGCCCCCCACCAGAACTTCTTCTATCCTACTTCCTCCTCAGGTACTAAAACCCGACCTCCGCTCTTAGCCACCAACGCCGAACAGGCCTTTCTTGTCTTCACGGTTCTCTTCTGTTTCCCCCTCAGTGGCAAATTCAGCTGTAGATCATGTTCATGAGCACTGCACTCATGGTCTGTGTCTGTAAGATCTACAACTAAATATTCGAACAAACAGAACATGAGAGTTCTTCAACTGTTCTGAATGAGATTGAGGAGCAAGAAGGGTTAAAGGGTTCCTTTAAGTAGTTTTCTTTCCTAAGTTTTATTTTATATAATAGATGAGTACAAAGTTAACTATGCTAAGGCAAATCTGTTTCCCTGTTATCATTTATTTAAATAAAAAGACTAAATTGAAGACTTATAGTGAAGATAGCAGCCCAGTGGCACAGCAACCTAGTGGTAGAACATAACCTGCTGAGTTTAATTCTTTCCCAACCTTGCAGTTTTTCCTTCTGACCTTCAGGCTTCCCTCCCCTCTCTGTGTCTCCTTGCTGAGCAACAATTTCCCTGTAGCCCTGCCCATAGTTCCTGGACTTTACGTATCTTCCCATTTTTGAGCGCCTTGGAAAATATTAGCTTCTAGAATTCTGCCTTTCTCTCTTTTTTATAGTTTTAAACTATGTCTAATGGATCTGGCTAATGCCATCAACTTCACCCTTATACGTGGTCATGTCGTACAAAATGCTTTCTGATCTCCAAGCCTGAAGCTGCAGGAGATGGAAACCATTTTCCCCTACTTGATCAGTTGTGTTAATTGTTAAGTGCAGTATGAAGTATCGCTTGTCTCTCATAGTTTTTTAAGCAAAGCTGGTTATGTAGTTTGCTGGTTTACCTACCTTTCTCAGGCTAGCTTTACATTGATGCTTCTTCTTTTTATCCCCCTTTGAACAGCTATGTCAACACATAACCTTAAAAAGTATGACTTCTCAAAAGCATGGCTTAGGGGAACTGATAACAGCCCTGTTAACTCCCTACAGAGCCTCTACCTCTGCTTATCCATGTCCTCACTGCTCAGGATAAGTTCTCTTTTCCAAGAAACTCCCCCAGGCAATCCCTACCCACTCTGATCTTTTCGTTTCTGGACTATATAGCATCTTTGTTATTTAGCCCCTAATTTGATACTTAATCACATTCTGCTTTGCATTAGCCACAGTCATTTCATAAATGCCAATCCTGTCATCGTACTGAGATGCCTGATTCTCAAGGACAAGTTTCTTAGCTCCTCTTGGTGCTGTAGTCTCAGAGCTCCCTGCACAGCAGGGGGCTGCCTTGGTGGCCAGAAAGGAAAGCAGCAGGAGCTGAGGGTGCGTGCAAAGACAGCACACCTGCCCTCAAAGTGTTCAAAGTCTAACGGGGAGGATAAGCACGATAACTTAATCTTCAGTCGTAAGCCACACGGACATGCTCTGGTTAGAACTCAGAAAAGCATTTTTTGAAAGAATGTGAGGGGAACACACATGAACCACGGAAAGTCTCAAGGGCCAAATTTTAAAAAGATATGAACTAGGAGGCTTGGAGAGTGTGTAGAACCATCTCCTGAGAATCATTTTTTTCTGAAATGATTGGTCACAGCTCTTCTCAGTGTCTTTGAATTCATGTTCAAGATTCAAGTGAGAGGGAGTTCTACTTTCACTATGGCAGAGAAGGTACCTAACGGACTGGCCTTGCCACAGACAATAACTGCAAATGATGGACAAAATGCAAATGACAACCACCCAGTGTCTCTTGAGAGCAAACAGAGCAGGTAGATTTTGAAGGGGATTCAAAGCTTAGAGGAAAGAAACTGGCTCAAGGCTGGTTTCCTTTTTAAGGGGTTTTGGCCTGAGAAAAGACTGTAGTCACTGTGTTGGCATAGAGTGGCTTCAACTCCAGTGGAACGCCTGCCATTGTTTCGATTTAAACAACGAGGGGACATGTCCCAGGGCAAGTACGGCCATCAGAAAAGGAAGGAGGACTTTCAGATTAGAGAGAAGCAGAGGAGAGAGTCACGATTTTTGATAGCAGAGGAGGTTCAGAACCTGGCTGGGATCAGATACTGGGGAATGGCCAAGTGCAGGCTGGATCCCAAAGCTGATGATGCCAAGGCCTTTGGCTTGTTGCTGTACTGCCTCTGCCCACTCCCTTCCTAGTGCCTACACATAGTAAGGAGAAAACACACGTAGAAGAATCATTCTACTGCACACTGAAATGATAAGAGCCCAAGTAAAGTTCCAAGGAGTTTCAGCATGGAGATACTTCTGGTTGGCTGGTCAGGGGCTATTGCATAACATGCCAGCATTCCAGATCAGAGTGCCAGGGGCAAGATCTATTTTTGACCATCGACAAAGAAGGTGTGACCTACTTTTAAAGGAGCTCTAATAAATAGAAACCTATATTTATATTAAAAGTACATTAAGTTGTAATGAGTTACTTTGGCTAAATCATGTTGAAGCTCATTCCACATCAAGTTCTCCTAATCTAGTCAATGGAATTTGATTTACAGTTGGTGGGGATTTTGATGGGCTAGTTTCAATACAGCGAATCTTCAGTCAGCTGTTATTTGAGCATCTCTAATTGTGCTTTGGTAAACAAAGTCTAAGTCAAGGTTCTTATCTTCAGTAAAGCCACAGGGAGTCTACTTAGGGATGTGTGATCCATACACTAACAAATCTTAACTTATAACTGAATACTGAATAGCATAGTCTTTAACTCATAGAGATTCCGTGGAGGAAAAGCAATTGCTTTGAAAGAGTACGTCATTAGCAACAGTTGGCATAAACACGTTCTGTAGGAAAGACACCCAGCTGGAGATATGTGTAGGCACTAAGAGCTATGAGAGGGGAGAAGGCAGTGTGAGGGAAACACTTGAGGTGGTCATGTTTTTAGGTGAGGGAGTGTCCTAATGGCATGGCTTCGAAGAGACTAGACCAGTCTGTTTGTTTGATATTGAACATGTCCTTGATCCTGCAGTCTTTGAGCTGACAGAGTAGAAGCATACTCTAACTCATCTCAGTGCTGTGTTTCTTATTAATAAAATCTGGAATATCTTTGGAAGGACACTTGGGAACCTGGTTACATTAACTGCTTTCAAAGAGGGGTGCAGGGTGGACGTGAGAGGTTTTTCACTGTATACTCTTTTACACCCTTTGAATTGGGAACCAAGCATTATTTATTTATTTATTTATTTTTAAATCAAAGGATAAAATACATGTGTGCTGAAAAAAAAATGAAATAGGAACAAATGTTTTAAGAGCACTACAATCATCACAGGACACTCCATCAGAACGTAAGTAAACAAGCAAACTCATGCAAATTTTAACCTTGATACACGATAATCTGAACTTGTTTAAAGTGTACAAGTTGGTAAGTTTTGAAATGTATTTATACCTGTGAAATCATAAGCACAATAAAGATAATGAACAAATTTATTTCTTTTGAAAGTTTCTTTGTGCCCTTTGAAATCACTACCTCTCACCTCCTTAGTGAGGCCTTCCCTGACCACTCAACAGAAATTAGGCTCCCGTCATCATAACACTTATCAATACTTGGTATTTTCTTATTTGTGAGCTTCTGCCCCATTAGAATGTAAGCTCCATGAAAACAAGTACCCCCGTCCATACAGCATCCCTAGTTTCTATAACAGTACCTGGTACATGGAGGAAGTTCAGTTAACTGCTTGAAGATAACATTTTGGGACTTAATTGAGCTTCAACCCTGTGTGCGATGTAACCTGGGAAAGAGAAAGAAACAGTTATGCACGAAGGAGCAGGGTGTATATAGAAATAAGACAGAGTCTGTGTCTTAAGTCCTGCAGAGTATGAGCAGCAAGAGCAACTGCAAAGAGCAGGAGCAGAGCTGCAGGAAATCTGGAAAGGCCTATGTTTAAAAACTGTCTTTGATTTGAGTCAAGGTCATCCTGGGTTTTCGCTCAGCCTCTATGATGAGCCGGGCTGACCACCTAAAGGAGACACCCCAGGCAAAGATGGACATAGAGGACAGGAAACAGAGAAAAAAAAGAAAAAAAAAAAAACAGGAAGAAAAAAGCAGACCCTGCTGGTGTCTCTGCCTTTTCTTTAATTGCTACAGCAGGGGAGGAGAGCAGAAAGGGGGAGACAGACGTGGGGAGCTCCACGGAAGCAGGGAGCATGATAGGAAGCCCTGTTCTGCAGTGCATGAGGCCATGTTACATTGGGAAGGGAAGCTGCTCCCCGCTTTCTAGTACCAGGAATCCTTATCAACCAGGGACACTGCAGGTGCTGGTTACAGCCCTGGAGGTGCTGAGTGTTATGTGACCTTTATTCTGTTAAGGAAAAAAAAAGTTAAAGGTGTTTATCGTGACAAATGCAGCTGACACAAGATAATTAAAAAGTTAAAAAAAAAAGTCACCTTCCTCCACAATAGTGTCAGCTTTTAGTTCAGCAGATATTTGAAGTTTTTTTCCTTTCTTTCATTTAAAAAATTTTTTGCATAGTTCAAAATTCAAGTCACAAAGAGGTATTGAGTGAAAAGTGCTCTTCCTACCCCTATTCTCCACCCCCCTCTAAGTTCTCCTTGAAGGTGATCAGGGTAAACAGATCCTTGCATCCTTCCAGAATTAGTCTCTGTCCATTCAGGTTTTCTTTTGGATACAAATAGGACCAGGAGTACTCAAAGCACACACAGAGGCATTTTCTCCAAGTGAGCCAAGCCTAAGGGATCCACTTTACATTTTCACCGGTAATAAACAGCATTAATAGAAGCTAGCCCACTGAGGGAGGGAGGGATCTCTTCTCGGTTCACTGGCAGATTACAGCATGAAAAGGAAATGCGGAGGGGATATGATGTGGTCTGCCAGGTGTCAGGTGCTTTTAATTTAGGACAAAGCTAGTCCAGCTTTAACGAGGAATGGCTAACGACATGGTCTAGATATGGCAAAAGAAATCACGGTTGTCTTGGGAGATAGGGAATAAAGTTTCGATGTGGCAGATAAGGGCCTTCTCTGAAAAGGGGGTTGTGTTGGATATAAGCTTGGGAGAAGAAAGTGGTTTTATGTAAGCCTCCCCAGATGTATGTTTATGAGGGTGTCACTCTACCGTTGAACTACGGGACAAAATGAGAGCTAGATGGTTCCCCGGTGACATGCCAGGAGACTGACTGTAACGAGATGGGGACGAGGTCTGGGAATTATGTTAGAATGGATCCGACGTTTCCCATTGGAAAGAGTCCCAATTCTGAAGGTGGAAGCCTTCGGAGCTGGCAAATCAGGCACCTCTACACAACAGAAGACCCAACGGAACCTATCTGGCAAGGGGGCAGTCTCCCAAAAGCAACTGGGAGAGGCAGAAGGGCCTGGGTCTGGAGTCTCAATACCTGGGCTCAATCCTGGTTCCCATACTTAGCAATGTGAACCTCTGCAAGTTAAACTCCTTGTGCATCAGTTTCCTAACAGAGATAATACAGAGAGATAATAACAGTCTCTCATAGGGGTGTTGTGTGAGTAACTGAGTTGTTCTACGAGGAAGGCTTCGAACAATGCCTGGCACATAGCTAACAATAATTTTCAGCCATCGGTACCTTTAATAAAGGCAGGCCTGTTTTGCTGGCACAGAAGTACTTGGTGATGAATCTGGAAAAGCAGAATCCTAGGTGGATTTCAGGTAGAGGTAGGAGGGGAAGAAGGGAGTGAACAACAGCACAGCAAGAACATGCCAGGAAGAATGAGGAGGAAGGGTTCAGGATGGGGCTGTTTCAGAGAAAACAGACGCCTTGCTGGTCTCCATGTTCCAAGACAGACTGTGTAAGGGAATGACTCTTGGAAATTAAATGGAGAAAGTGTAATTTCAGTTAAAGAAGTATTCTTTTTGTTTGCCTACTTAAGGGCTCAAGTTATATTGCTGAGTGGCCAGGTTACATTGAAGGAACCCAAGATCTGTAAGTCAGGAAATTTAGGTTCTAGTTCTAATTCTGCCGTAAGTAGCCGATGCCATGTTGAACCAAGTCAATGAACAATCGTGTCATTTTTAGAAGACGGTGCCAGAACTAGTTCCTAGGCCCTATGAGTATTTAACATTCTTTGATTCTAACCCAGGGTGGGGATCTCGAGAGAATTTCAGAAGCTGCTCACTTAGCCCCAGGACGACTCCCCTCAAAAATACCCATTAAAACTAAGAGCACCTGGGGTTCCTTTCCTTTTCTCCAGGTCCCTTGCCAAATGGAGCAAGATTTCTAAAATGCTGGCAGTGGGAGAGAGCCACCTCTTTATCTTTTCCCACTCGTTTCAGGTAAGTAGGTTTTCAGTCATTCCTGTGGTCTGCCTAGAAATGCTTCCAGACCGAAGTAGGGAGTAGAAATGAAAAAAAGGGAGATTTGCTTAAAGGAAATAAACTTTGTTTTGCTTGATTCTCTGTGAGAAGGTTGGACAGGTAGATGGTGACTATGCAGGTTTAAACTACTGAGTTAACAAATACTGCTCTAAAGGGTGGTATCTGGCTCAACTAGGATTATGAGATCCTGATTCATTAAGGCCTCAGGAGACTGGACATACTAATAGGCTGTCTCATATAAATGGGCAACAGGAAGCTTACAAAACTCTCAAATAAAAGGCAAGTCAAGTCAGGTATTGGGCTAGAGACGTGCACTGGTTGTAAAACCACAGGCTCTGACTCTGTGAGCCTAAGTGAAGGCCTGGTTGTTTAGTAGAAAATTCTTGAGTCTTACAGCTGAGGAGATATGGCTGCTTACCCAAGGACTATGAACTTGCATCTTGTTTGCTCGTCATCCTGTCAGTCATTTCTTTTTTTTTTTTTTTAAGAACACAAATATCAGCACCGAATCTCGAGCTTTTTCCAGAGGCGAAGCCCTTATCTCCAAGGCACTGTACCAATAAACCTCGGCCTGGATAACACGAGCTTGGAACCCCTCAGTCAGCCCTGAGGGGTCCGCACTGCGGGGCGCAAAGCAACTGCTCAGCTTCAAACCCAAAGGTTTCATCACCAGCCAATCGCTGGCCGGGGCCCCTCCAAAAAACCAGAAGCATCCAGGGCAAGTGAATGACACTAAGGCTATCCTATCGGCACGGAGACAGCTGAAGGGGTGTGGTCAGAACTGACCAATAGTATCGAAGTAACTGTTGGGAGGGCGGGAGACGCCAGCGAGCGTGCGCAAGTCCTCCCGGGGAAGGCGTGGCAGGAAGCTTGCGGAGCCAATGGCCGCGGTGGGCGGGCGGCCGCGCGCGTGCGCGGTAGGACGCGGGGCTGCGGGCGGGAGGCGGGGAGCGGGCAGGAG